ATATATATATATATATATATATATATATTATATGTGGCATATGTCTTTGGACACAACGTTCATTAGCTTCACTAGCCAACTGCCACATCAGTGTGGGTGGCGTTTGCTTGACTCGTCTATATACCCAACTTCACAAAGCCTACGGCGTACTAATGATACATAACAACTGTGAAACAGCTGTCTGTTAGCAACATATCCATGTATCATATACATATATATAGAATGCATCCGACAAAGCAAAGGCAAACCGGAATTGCCCTTTCTGGCTTCTTAACCGTCATCAGCCAGTCATACCCAATCTCAAGGGTCGGAACCCCGAGATTCGAACCCAGAACATTTGGTCATTGAGTTTAGCACTAAACCATTGCATCTCAGGCTCGCTACTCTGTCGGTGAATCACATATATTCATATATATAGAATGAGAATGTAAGACGAGATCTGGGGAAGATGGTTTACTCATCTGACGTTTCATACTCGTACTTGAACACGTCATCGGAGATAGACAAAAAACGTAAATGCATAATTTTCGAGACTCGAGTCCCAGTTCGTCTTCAGACGCAGAGTATAGTGAAAGTGCCACAGAACAGCTAACATCGAGGCTATACGGGAAAAGTGATAATGGCGTGGTGTGGCTCTTGCGCCAGTTGGCTGCTGCCATGTCTCTCATCCCGTTCGCATTGGCTCTCGTCGCGGCTATTTCTCCTTGAGACTTTTGTAGCCACCATCGAGCTCGATGTGCCTGTTGATGTATGACTCGTTCGAGTGTATTGCTTCGAGGAATTCTCGGCCTTTCATGAAAGGGCAGACACGGATAATACGGATTTCGTCCCACGCAATGGTTGTGCATGGCAACTTGAGACAAGTGATCTCCTCTTTTTATCACCAACTGATATTTGCGGATGTGCACAAGGGCGGATTTCACCATCTGACCGCAATAAACGGCATCACACGTTCCACACGGGATCCTGTAGATAACTTCTTTCTTATCCAAATAGTTAACCCCATCATTGAGGTGTACTACTTGGCTGCGTTGAGTGCAGTCAAAAGTCTCTTAACTCAACCAAGAATGCACTGTTCGGAAAAAGAAGCCTGTCAGATCGAACTAAATTAATTGTTTGAATTATTCTCTCAAAAAGGTTATCTGCGAGAATTAGTACGCTGATGCATGAGACACCAGGAGTCAACGAAGAACGGCTTAAGCCGTGGAAATCAGACACCCATGGCATACACTTTTCAAAGCCTTTTTTACATCAAGAACGTGTCCGAAATCGTTGACAGACGCCTAAGGAAGCATAACATTCAGGTGACTTATTAGCCAACGACGACGTTACGCAGACAAGTGGTACACACTAAGGATGGGATTAACTAGTAAGACAAGAAAGAAATTATCTACAAGATTCCGTGTGAAACGTGTGATGCTGTTTATTACGGTCAGACGGGTAAATCCGCCTCTGTGCGCATCTACGGACATCAGTTGGTGGTAAAAAGACGAGATCACTTGTTTCAAGACACCACGTCGGACATACTTAGGTACCTTTTAAAGCGAAGTCGATACCACCGTCATCTCTAAAAAGGTAGTTCCAAGTTTTTTAGACCTACTTCTAAGGGGCATTACTCACAGTATGCGTTATTCAGATTGTGAGGAATTTGCTTGAATCTATATTGATTAAAAGGTCAGCGGCTTCGCCTTATTCAGTCACCTATCGATGAAATGATTCGGCTATATCACTGACCTATGGTAGCATTTTAGGCGTACAACAAATTACACTTCTTCGGACTGACCCTTACACGTAATTCATGTCAACTGAGGCGATGGGCGAATGAATGTTCTCCTAAAACAAATATTTTCACACAATATCTTTAATTCAAACCCTTTATACTGCAGTATGCGCAAGCTGGTTTAAATAATATCTCAGCTTTCAGACAACTTTGCTCAAATTTCAAGTATTTATCAAGGTACTGCATCAATTGATTCTAATCCTGTCTTTAATCGTAAATCTAAGATGTCTGGCTCACAGTTTTTCAAATATTATTCTAACAGCAAACATTCGCCGGGACTAAATACAAGCGAGGGTGATCAGTTTATAACAGATCGAACAAATCTAATTTGAAAAATTTATGAACTGCCTGTTTGTCTATTCACTTGCATCCCACGGTACTTCGCACTCTTCAGCATAGAAATTTAGGCGATTAAATATGTAAGCTGACAAAACTGTTAGGACCAACTAAAGTGTTTCTTAGAGTAAGTTTTTTAGTTATGGGAGATACGTGACCTATGCAAAGTTCCTCAGATTGTACGGCTAATATCGTAGAAATTTTTAAAGTAGTATATATTTAACTTTGCTAGTTTAAATGATGCCAGCCGCCTGCGTCCATGATCTTTGGTAGGTAGTGATAATGACAAGAGTTTTCACACAGCAGAAACAATGCACCGCACTTAGTACAGCTACGTTTACGCAAAGCAAAAGGAAACACTTACCGAGCCACAGTTGTTCAGTCGCATTCAGTTCCATCCGTTGTATACGCAGACCGACTCCAAAACCCACAAGCACAGCAATGATTGTTGCTATCGTAAACCAGTTCGCCACAAAACAGTTTCCTTTCTTTTTACTCATAATGGTATTGAGATGCGAGGCGTTGCTTTCTTGATCATCCAAGTTCACTGCTGTTTTAGGTTTCCACGATCCTCTTCATAATGCCTAAATCGGTTCCTATCTTAACCTATAAAGAATATCGGACGTTAGTTCGATTGAAACCTCATTGGCCTCTACCGAATGGGCCAATTAATAGAGCTGCTTTGTGCTGGAAAGAGAGTCTGTTCGGACGGTTTTGTTTATACGTCCTCATGTCTGCTCGTAAATGCACCGGAATATCGATGTAAGCAGTTGCATGGCGTCTTTCGAACCAACTTGGGCTACCACTTGTCTGTCATAACGCTTCGTGGGATTAAATAACGGAAACTATTTCACGCTAGGTAGGTTAATCGTGGCATACACTTTTCACTCTCGCAACGAAATGGACTGATAACCAAAAGGGTGCGATTTTGTTTTACGAGGAAGCCGTTTTCGCAGATGTTTTCCTCATTTCTTTAATTTGTGCTCCGAGAGGGCAAATGACCTTTTGGCGGTGTAGTGGCAATCACCAGAGTCACGTGATTTATCACTTGAAACCAGCACGCGCTACTATCGAAATCAATACTCTCTGCGCAAAACGGTACGTCTTGTCGTGAAAAAAATGAATACGTGTCCACCTGTAGAAGGCCCGAAAAAAATAGGGTACATTTGCATTTTTGGCCTTTGAAAAGTATTAAGACGGAGTGCGAAAAGCTTTAATAATTAAAGGTTTAGGGTAGATTGAACCGCCGAACTATCTCCACACCCTTAATGTAAACCCTGTGCGTGCGGAGCTAGAGATGAGGCGATACAAAGTGCATGCAGACTGAACGTTTGGTTCTGGCAGTCATCGCGCACATGCCCATCTGTGATTGCCATGAGAGTCCCGAGGGAATAAAATAACGAGGGCAAAGTGATCGACATCTTAAAAGTCTGTTTCACTGTGAAAACAAACTCACGGGTTGCCACCACACCCTGTCTGGGAGATGATGGATCCTGGCATTTCCAGTTGTTGAACTTTGAGTAAATATCCCGCCTCATGAAACGTTAACCGAAATTCTGAAATGTGCTCTTTAATTCCAAAAGATAACTGAGGTAGGACTCATAAATGTACAGCCTAATCTCAAGACGCAAATGCTGTGACTTACACATGCATTACTTTTAATTGACATTAGACTTGTGTCACATCCTCTAGTAGCGAGCTTTTCAAATTGAAACGCCACTTTTTTCTTCCCTCCATTCGCATATAATTTTTCTTATATATATATATATCAGTAAGGGGGGTATGACAGCGTCTGGGGGTAACTTG